CTCAATGGCCTCCTCCGTTGACCATCCTTCAACCATGCCCCCTTCTGGCCTAAATCTGTTCCTAACATACCTCCTGAAAACTTTTATCAATCTTTCGAAAGGAAACATCTGATGCAGGTACATTGGGCCAAGGGCTCTAATTTGGTCAACAAGATGAATGAGCAGATGCAATGAGATATCAAAGTAAGTCAGCGGGAAATGCATCTCAAGCCTAACGAGAGTTTCGGCTATGTCCCGCTGCAGCTGCTCTAGCGTGGACACATCAATGACCTTTTTTGATATGGTGTTGAAGAACGAGCAAAGCTTTATGATTGGGGCGTGGACCTTTGGGGGGAGGATACCACGCAGGGCAACAGGGAGCAGCTAAGTCATAATGACATGACAGTCATGGGCCTTCATAGGGCCATAGTTGAACTTGAGTTCTCTCATGTTCACTAGCCTCTTCGGGTTTGCATAGTAGCCCATCGAGACTTTGAGTTCATTAAAGAAAGAAATAAGCGCACGCTTTTCTTCCTTCTTCAATGTCTATGACACAACCGAAAGTTCGAACTGGCCATTCTCTAGCTCCACGGGATGTAGCTCCTTCCTGATTCCCAAGTGTTGCATGTCCAAGCGTGTGGCTAGTGAATCGTTCGATGTCCCCCCGGTGTCCATCAAGGTGTTAAGAGTGTTAGCGCACACATTTTTAGTGATGTGCATGGGATCAAGACAGTGGCGTACACTCAGAAATGGCCAATAAGGTAGTTTCCAGAAAACTAATTTTTTCTTCCAAACGCTCCCATCAGGCGTTGCTACTGCATTGTCCCCCTTCCCAAGGACAACCTCCAGTTTGTTGAGTTCTCGAAGTATCGTAGGCCCATCTTGATATTTTAGAGCTAAGCGTTTCTCAATAGTACCATTGAAATCTTTTATGTTCCTGTGGTAAGGATGATCCTTAGGTAGGAACCTACGGTGTCCTATATAAACTATCTTTGAGTTATTTGGCAGATTTACCGCATCAGTGTCGTCCAAGCACTCGACACATCCGGTATAGCCTTTTGTATTCTCTCCGGACAACGAACCTCGACCTGGCAGGTCGGTGATTGTAGCGATAAGTACTCCCTTGATCGTGACATGTTCCTTTTTGTACTCGTCCCAAACATCCGGCACACCCTTTTCAAACATCTCCACTAGTTCATCGATCACTGGTTCTAGAAACACATAGATGTCATTCCTAGGCTATCTTGGCCCTTGGATCAGTAGTGGCATCTGGATGTACGACCGCTTCATATAGACCGAAGGTGGAAGGTTGTATATACAAAGCGTCACTGGCCAGGTGCTATGATTGCTTCTAACCTGGTCGAAATGATTCATCCCATCTGTGCTCAAAGCAAACCAAAGGTGCCTTACCTCTCCACCGATGTCCTTATAGAACATAGTATTGACAGTCCTCCAGTCATGCTCATCGGCGGGGTGCCTCATCATTGTATCTTTCTTACGCTCTTCGCCATGCCAGCGCAACAGCTTGGCTGACTTTGCACATGCAAACAGCCTATGCACCCGGGAAGCTATAGAGAAATACCAGATGACCTTTACGGGACCTTCGCTGATCTTGGTACCCTCATCTGACGACCCTTCCTTGTACCGTGGAGCTTCACACTTGGGGCACTTGTCTAAGTCTTTGTATTTTTCTCCACGGTATAATATGCAATCATTGGAACACGCATGGATTTTTTCAACCTCGAGGCCGACGGGGCAGATCATTTGCTTGGCCAAGTATGTCTTTTCTAGCAACTCATTTTTTTCTGGGAGCATTTTCCTTATTATACCTAACAACTGATCGAAACCTTTATCGCTCAATCTGTTTGTCGATTTGAACTCTAACAGCATGATGTCGGCTTCCGGTTTGCTCATTGGACAATTCCTATACAATGGTGTTTTGCCATCTTGTCTCATTTTCTCTAGCTTTCTCAGTTGTCTTTCACTAAGACATCCGGTCTCTACATTACGTAGCAGCTGAGAAATGCCATCGTTATCCTCGGTGTCGTCAGCTAGCGTGTTCCTAAACACATTATTAACTGTGGACATAGGTTCCGTGTTGACACGGGGTTCCTCGTCAGCATCGTGGATGGCTACGTCAGGCATGTCCACATCATCATTGTTTTCCCGCAGAACATTCACACCAACCTCGCCATGCATAGTCCATATTGTATAGTTTGGCATGAACCCCCTGGTAATCAAGTGCGATCGTATAGACTCAATTTGATGAAAGTTCCTATGATTCTTGCAATCTTTGCATGGGCAGAAGACAGGGTTCCCATTCCCAACATGGGCTTTGGCATCGGTGATAAACTGGCTGACGCCATGCATGTACTGCTTGTCCGTTCGGGACAGATGCATCCACTCTCGATCCATCTCTGCACAAAAAAAATACTGAGACAGTAATTACAAAGAATTAATAAGAAATCGAGCTTCATGAACAACAATTGTAGCTCAAAAGTACTATTTTTGGAAAACATTATTGTACACTAATTATTGAAAAATTGAAATTGGTAGCCCCGGCCCTGTAAATTGAAAATCATAGTAACAAACAATTATTGCACAATATTGAAGAACAAATATTCTACTCTACTTCTAAAAACTAATTATAGCATCACATACTAACAATGATGATCTTGACCACCATGGAATAATTAGCTAGGAATTTAAATGTGTTCATAGACACCAACCTTTTGGATGATGGATTCACCACAATTTGAGCCTGGCACAAATGTTCAATTGGAAAAGTGCTCTCTAGAATGGAGAAAGAATTAGAATGAGAATAAAGCAATGTAGCCATTAAAACGAAGCTAATTAAGCAACAAAATCAAAGGAGTCGATGTTTGTTACTAACCTTAAAGCACAAAGATCAAGCCATTCTTCAAAATCCAAGCACTAGCTTCATGGTGAAGAGCAGCCGCAATAATGGAGGGAAGGGTCCAAACGCACGCCTCTGTTCTCGGGATGGAAGAGAGGAGAAAGGAGAGGACGGCTGTAGCCTTTTTGTGTTGTAGGCTTATCACCGTCGGTTCTTGGCTAGAACCGATAGTGATAGAGCCCTATCACTGTCGGCTCTTGGCTTAAACCGGCAGTGATGAGTGCCCGTCAAAATACTGCCGGTTCAAGCGACAAACCAGCAGTGATGTGGTCCTTCACTGCCGGTTTTAGCCCAGCCCCAATCATTTTTTCATTTTCAAGCTCATAACCGGCAGTGAAGGTGCATCACTGTCGGTTCTCACAAATCCTACAGTGATGAGGCTAATAGTGATGTGCAAATCTGGCGTAGTGTCACGCATCAGGGGGGACTGTTTGCTTCACTCTCAAGCAAAACTGCCTGTGGCTGTTTAAAGAAAAAACTTCCTATCGCGAGCATGGCTCTCAGGTGTCCAATTCCGGGTTCCTGTAGCCGGATTACAACCTCGAAGCAGGAGGGCTTCAAGTAAAACACGCCTCTGACTGAGAATACCTGATTCTTACCGCCTCCGGCTCATTTTTCATTTTTCTACGATCGTGATCACCATCTTACAAGGCTATATCGGATTGTATTTTAGGCGTTTGGCATCCATCTACGTGGCTGCCGGATTCTATCAAAAAGAGCATCTGCAAATTAAAAGCTCCTCTATCTAATCGCTTAAAACCAGTCTATATTTCTAGAAAACGATTTGTAGGGGTTGATGTTGTTAGCCAGCCACCTCTAGAAATTCATTTCTAGGGGCAACTGTTGTTGCTAGCCGTCTCTATAAATCTGATTTCTAGAGACGGTTAAGTAGCCGCCTCTACAAATTACTTATTTCTAGCAACATAAGCCTAGAGGCGACTAGCCAATCCGCCTTTACAAAGCATCTACAGTCGCCTCTATAAATGCTAGCCGTAGTAAATTCATTTCTGGTTATCCTGAAACTGAATTGAAGTTGTATTTTCTCACAGATTTGTAAGGATTTTTCGATCCCTAACGAGACAAGTTCACCCCAATCTATAAATATAAAGAGCCACGGTCAACTGTGGAATTCAGTCACACAAAAAATTGGCCTATTACTCTTTTTAGTTGTTTTACTCTTTATTTATCTCTACCCAGACCACAATCTCTTGTTCCTTCATACTTAAACCCATATTCCGGCTGGGGTCGGCGAGCAGCTAGCCTGGCCACAATAGTAAAAAAAAATACCGTCTGATATAACAACAATAACGGTGTTCTAACTGGTAAACCGGCGTTCGGCTGACATGAAACCGGCTTGATCAGTTTCTTTTTTCATCTGGAACAGTATTTTTCTCATACGAATTCATCAGTGAACAGTAACTTTCCTGTCGCTAGAGTGCCTTTCGTGTCAGCCGAACGCAGCCTAAAAGTGTGCTTGTCTGGACGAGGTCCCTTCTAGACGAGCGTTTGTTGGTTTACCAAAGACTCAGAGGTCCTGTATGGAGCTCATATATATGCTGCACGTCATGTACAGTATTTGGCGTATCTAAATGCATTTTAAGAAAAGGTAAGATTGGAAGACACCCCACCGGCAGTGGCGGAGCCAAGATGAGCACCTCGGGGGGAGCTAATCAATAGAGATTTAGAACAAATGTCGAAGATTAACGGTGAAATCACGTTTTTTCTATAGTAATAACAAACCAAAATTACTCTCACGGGGGCTGCAGCCCCCCCCAGCCCCCCCTGGGATCCGCCAATGCCCACCGGCCCACCGCCTGTCTTTTAGTGTTTGGAATACTTGGACAGCAAGTACAAGATCCCATATATTTTTTTTCGAAAAGGGAAGTTTTATTGATTTCAAGATTGTCACATCAAGGTTATACTGATCACATATATTTACATGGAAAGAATTTATTTATGTGTAATATATATACAGCCAGCAGAATAATGTATCCTCCACGGACTCCGTCCAGACAAGTCAAATATTAAAGGTATCCGTACACCGTAATAGAGAATAGAGTCCAGTAGAGATTGACTACCCAAGTGGTAGTGGCATCATCATCACTTAACATGGAATCACCTCTCTTGCTGCACCTTGCGCTGAGGATTCGGGGAAGTCCATTAGAGCTGTAGCTGTAGACGTAACAGATGGAACCAATGCTGTTGAACCATTGGAGCTGTAACTGTCATCGTGTACCGGCGCTGGAGCCATGGTAGATGACACCGCCGCCTGGGCCCCTTGCAGTCCAGCGCCAGGGCCCACCGTGACTGGAGCACTCAGCGGATCCTGTTGCGGCATTTGGATGTCATTTTGTTGTACTGGTCCCTCTGATACAACTGAGCATTCTGTAATCTCAGTCTCGGTTGCCCCCTGGGGTGGAGCAGCCCTTTTGAGCAGAAGAACTTTTGGCCTGTTCTCGTGTTCCTTGGCCGCCTGTACCCATTTTGCCTTAGTATCAGTGTTGACTTCATCGTCAAGAACTACTTCCCTCAGACATTTAAAGCCTTTGATCTGGATGCTGCACTGGCCATCCATTTTTTCACATATCAGCTGAAGTGATATGAGATGTGGCAAAGCACCTCCTTCAATGTTTGGAAATGTTGGATGTTTCACCACAAAACAAAGGCAGAGCAGTTTGGGCAACGCACTGTTCCTAAAGGTGATCTGATCAAGTTCATCTGCAATCAGCTTCAGGTATAGCAGGTCTTTCAAATAACCCAAAGCTGTTAGAAGATCAGCTGTCAATCTAGTTGATTCAAGGCACAATTCCCTGAGTCGACGAAGAGCCGTGACAAACTCAGGCAATTTCAGTAACCTACCCTGTAACTTTAAGGACTTGAGATAGCAGGGAGCCTTCAAGCCTTCTAGCAAATCTTCAGAGCATCCATCAAAATGCACTGACAATGAACGAGGGTCATCCGCCGAGTCGTTTACATCATGAATGAACTTATGTATGGCCTTCTCAACATTACTCAAGCTACTACTTGTTGCGGATGATTCACACCAGATCTTCACCTTCCGTAGTCTTTTCATATGAACCATGAGTTCTGCAAATCCCTCACTTTCATCAACCATAAATCCTGCTAGCGTCTCTAACTTACATTGTCGTGAAGAAAGAAATTTCTGCAGTTTGCTTAGCACGACTGTATTTGGAAGCTTGAACTTTCCAAAGAGATGAATTAAGTTGGGCAGCTGGATAACTTCTGGAGATAGGATCTTTACATCTGCTCTCCTTAGGTCAAGTGTCTCCAGAAGTTTTAGTCTTTTTATCTCCTTTGGAAGGCTGGTAACCCTGCCCCCTAGGCTTAGATATTTTATAAGTAATAGGTTGCATACTTCATTGAGATGATCATTATGCAAGTCGGTACACTGTTCAAGATCCAAGACTCTCAGCAACTGATACTTTCTGAAATCCAAAATAGCTTTACCTGCCTGTCCAATCACTATCAGAGATCTGACGAGGGTGAGATCAAATTCCGATTTGGTGGCATCTGTAATATTGCTGTCATGGAGGGAAAGGCGACGAGCAGCTCTGGGTTGAAGCTTCCCATCATAAAACAGAGCAATCATTTTTTCAGACAGAGACTTGCACATAATGTACTCATGCATCATGCCATAGGTTTTGCATGTTTTTACCTTCATATTGTTGCTTATTACATCAATGGACTGGATGATGTTGCGATCCATGAGCTCCTTTAAACTTTGAGTTGCAGGATCACTGCATAAAACTGTTGGTATTAGAAATCCCTCAGCTAACCATCGCCTCATTAGTCTTTTCACCCTGACTCGACAATCACTGGGGAACATAGCAAAATATAACAAGCAAGCTTTGAGTTCATGGCTTGGCAGGCTGCTGTATTCATGGGTCAGCATCTGGTACATTCTCTTTAAGGTATCATCGCTATCCAGATGACTGCGTACCTCCTTGCAAACACCATCCCATTCTGCCCAATTTCTACTTTGAATGAATTGGCCTACAGAAGTCAAAGCAAGTGGTTGACCATCACATTTATCCAATATTGCCTTGGAATCCAGATGCGAAGCCGAATATTCCTGCAGACACGACTCCTTTAGTAACAGTTGCTTTGAGTATTCTTCGTCAAGTCTTCGCATTTTGTGCATGTAGCCATTGGTAGAGCTGCAGGTATTAGCCACTGACTGGATTTTCGTTGTCACCACAATTCTGCTGCTAACATCACGCGGCCGTGGGAAGGAGGATTTTATACTATTCCATTGATCCGTTGATCGCATGTCATCAATTACAATGAAATACCTGAATTAATTTGAAATGTGGATACAGGTAGTATTAGTTTCCTATTCCACAACCACAATAATAAATGTGCACAGGAAGGTAAGGTATTTTCACATCGGAGTGCATTCTGCATCACTTATTCGATATATACCCCTCTCCAGTAATGTAATGATAGTAAAATTGAATTAATGAGAAATAAGTAGAGATTTTTGTTACCTCTTGTTATTCAGATGGTTCCTGAGATTAGTGCTAAGCTGACGAGCATTGCAGTTAACTAGTGATAGTGGCTCATGCACTTGCCGGAGTATCTCGGTTAAGAGTTCCTCTAGATTCCGTTGCCCTGCGGATACCCATGCCCTTTTCTCGAATTGCCTGCCAACCTCACTGTCATACAACTCTTGGGCAAGAACAGTCTTCCCCAGTCCACTAAACCCAACGATGGAGATCACTTTCAGTTGCTCCAGTTGCCCTTCTGCTTCTGACAAGTGCTCCAGAATCTCCTTCAGAGGCGTGTCAATGCAGACAAGATCGTCCCGAGCGATGTGACGATCTGAGGCCGATGGAGGCAGCTCAGGATGGGACAGACGGGGCACAGAGTATCTCTCCTTGCGCTGGTGGGCCTCTAGCAACCTCTTTTTCAGCCGCTGCATTTCTTTTGCTAACTGCAAGCGAGACCTTATTCTGCGCCCGGATGCTTGATTCATATGGTACCATGGTTGCTGTTCTTTAGAGGCATGGTACATGATGCGGTCTATGCAGTCCTCCATTTGTAGGGCCAATTCATGCAATTCATTGACCTTAAATTGCAATGCGCGATCACTCCGCCCTGACAGCTGATCATCGATGGCACTAGTGATCATATGGAGCTCTTCGGTTAGGAAATGAACATCCTCTTCAAAGTCCTTGTACAGCTTGTAGTTCTCATCCGCGAGCACAAACAACCTTGCCACAAGATTGTTTATAAATGCACTCAACACGCCAGCGTCCATCCACCTCGCGTTCAGCGTTTCTTGACAAAGCAGGTTGAACGAGCTAATGACCACACAGATTCAGTAGCTGAAGTTTGATACCATTTCCTGCAAATTTGGAAAAGGATAAAATTTTAAACATGGAAATGCTAACTAGTGATCTGTCCACTTTCAGCTATCAATTACTACTACTTACTCCTCCAAACACAACTGAGGTGATGTTTCTTTTAAGTCAACAACTCTAAACTCTAGTTACATGTTACATTTAATACGTTGAGTTTAGATACTTGAAAATGGTAGAGTATCTTTTGCTACGTTTTATAAATATTTTATAACAAAAACTACCAGTTAAAGCTATGTTTTGAAAAAAAACATATCGATGCCCCAAGACATTGTTAGTTACTGGAAGGAGTATAATACATAATCTTTCATCGTAAGGATACTAAGAAACTTCTAATTTTCATCCAAAGTATTTCCTGAGGAATTAATTATGAAGGAATAAAGAGGGCACAAAATGACACAATGGGATGCTGAAGAAAAAGTATCAAGACTCAGTTGCATCCACATGACACCTTCTTTACATACGCTGTTGTTTCTGAAATCTTTCATAAGAAGTTGATGAAATTAAATTATCATTTAAAGTTGTTGGAAATACAGGTCCAGTTTATTCTGTTTGAAATTTGCTATTATTATTTCCTTGTGAACTTTTTAAATTTTTTATATATTAGTGGTTGAAGTTTAAAAGTTAGCATGCATGCATGCAAACTTAAACATAATCTATTTAACAACAAAGGGACTAATATGAAATGAAGTCTATATACATATGCGCACTTGGGGGCAAAAGGCATCTCTAATAATCTATAGCTAGTTAAACATAATTGTTCTCAGTTCCAAACTAAATACTACTAGTTAATGTTGGTTTTGGAGCTGATTGGTTTAAATATTCTCTAAGCAACTTATTTCAGGTCCCAAAAAAGGAAAAACACACCTTTCCCACTAACCTCATGTACATTATATCTACAATTAGATTTCCTTATATTACCTTTGTTGTCTGAAAGTTTCAACAAATATATGGGCCTTTGGCTAGCTTCAAATGGAAAACTTTGTTAACTACAAAGTTGTAGATCTCATTGACACACCTACACTTTTGCACTTCATTAATGTCTAGCACCCATGCTCTCTCACACTTTGGATTGCTGCTTACATACGCTCATCCAACCTCAAATGACATTCTATCATTATTTTAGTCAAATAAGATGTACACAATTGTCCCTTTCTTATTCTATTACTTGAAACGGAGAGATATCTGGATCTGTAGATTATAATCCTTTAGATTAACCATCACACTGCTGTTATCAATCAATTCCTACCAGATGGTGTAGACTATGCACCAAGGGAAAAGGATGGATTGGTTCTAGGCAAGAGGACTGTAGCGAAAATGTTTTCTCTCAGTTATCAGTTATGTACTTTATGGTTTTGGTGATCGAGTAATAACATATTTATTAGGACAAACCAGTTTGTCAAGAATATCATTTACATGGATTATAGATCCTATGAAGTAAACATAAGAACTCACAAAGAAGACATGATGAATAAGGTAGAATTAGTGAACAACATCAAATGAGAAAGATAAGGACTGAATGATCCTATGCCAGAAAATCAAAGGACCGCAGTAAGGAATAGTGCACCGATAGAAGAAACGAAAAGAGAGCACTGGTTTATCCAGTGGTGAAGAAAATCAAAGCACCCGATTATGGAACAGTACCAGTGCAAAGTGCCAAGGGAATCGAGAAACAGAGTATAACATCATAGAGAGAGATTGTGAGCATGTCTTGGTTCTTGTAGAAACACCATGTGATCCTTAGTGTGTCAGGCAGTTGGAGCCTTGGGAGGATCGCTGGTGACTAGAGATGGCAACGGGGCCCCGATCCCCGATCGCCGATGAGAGATTCATCCATTCACTACTACAGAAAGTTTAATCACCTCCGGGGCTTTCACCAACGGTTATGAGACAACCGGCAATAAGTAAGGCAGGGTGAGATGACGCGCCACGCCGTTGTTGGCGCAGTACTCGGCGAACTCCACCGACGTGAATTCGCCGCCGCGATCCGTCCTTAGCACGCATAGCTTCTTCCCGGACTCCGCCTCAACCCGCGCCTGGAACCTTTTGATCGCCTCTATCGCCTCGTCCTTACTCATCAGGAGCTGCAGCCACATGTAGCAGCTGCAGTCGTCCAGGAGCAGCAGGAAGTAGCGCCACCTGCCATGCGTAGCCAGCACGATTGGCCAACAGAGGTCGCCGTGGACGAGCTCCAGCACGTCCCCCGCGTGATACTTGGCCGCCTTCAGGAATGGCGGCCTCCTCTGCTTCCCTGCCAAGCAGCTATCACACAGCTTGCTAGCTCGATGTGAGGTTGGTCGCGCACCATATTCTCTAGCCTCCTGAGTGCGTCGAAGCTCAGATTGCCAAACTGTGCATGCCACAGCCATGGTTCCTCAGTGTCCCACGCCGCCAGGCACACCGGCTGCTCAACCTTCAAGTCAAGCATGTACAGACGATTCTTGGAACGTTGTACCTTAGCGAGAAGTCAGTGTTCTCGATCCCGCATGCTCAAAACGCCATTGTTGACGAGGCCCTCACAGTCACGCTCGTCCAGTTGCCCAATGCTAACGATGCTCGAACGCAACTGAGGAATGTAGTAGACATCCGTCCGCGTGCGGTGCTCCTTGTTCTAGCACCTGAAGTCAACCGTGCTTCAGCCACAGATCTTCTTCTTCGAAACGTTGCTGAATTTCATGGAGCCGACTGCGTTGTCGTCCAGCTTCGTGATCGCTTCCTTGTCGTCGGTCATGTGGTTACTGGCCCTAGAGTCCAGATACCATCTCTGTTCCATGCCACCGCCCACGCGTCCGAGATGGGCTTGGGCGCGCAACTTGTCGAGTAGGATGCTTTGCTTTGCCTTCCCCTGCTCCACGGCCCCAACTCCTCCCTCAACACCGGCTCTGCCTCGACATCGTTCAGCGCACAGAACACCACCATCAGGAGGGTGGGATCCTCATCGTCCAACCGCCGCTCGCACATCCGAGCCACCCACTCCTCCTTGGTTAGCAACAGCTTGTCGTCGGCCGTTGTCGTCGTCGTCTCCACATGATCTTCCACTGCCTTCAAATGCCCTGTCACGTCCTCGAGAGAGAGAGTGGATAGGTCGATCAGCGTCTCGATAGAGAGCGCAATCTGCCCATACTTGGCGGGCACGACCCACAGGTACTTGGCGATTGCCTCCTCGTCAATGATGATGATGCCTAGCGCCGCTAGTTGGCTGATGAGCGACTACAGCCGGAGCGCGAAGTCCTCCACTACCTCACCATCACGAAACGCCAGCGCCTTGTACTCCCGACTTAGCTGCTGCGCCTTCGCCTTCTTTGCGCGGTCAGAGCTGACGCGCATGGCCTTGAGGGAGTCCTAGGCGGCCTTGGCGAAGTCCTTCGTCCCTAGCGACTCCACGTACTCATGAGTTACAGCGGAGATGATCGCCTCCATCACCGAGCAGTCTTCTTCTTCATCCTCAATGCCTTCCTTGATGGCCCGCCACAGCTTCCGCGCTCGCAGCTTGACCTTCATCGACACCGCGCACTCGTCATAGTTAGTGCGGGTGAGGACGGACCAGTTGGCCTCGCCAACTTCCCGCACGGTCCTCTGCACGACGACCTCCTTGCGCGTAGGCGAACGGGACAGCCATGTTTGTCACCGCCACCGTGCGTCGTCCCCGTCTCGTCATCTTACGCCATCGCCGGCGATCAGCCTTGTGGTAACCTGGCTTTGATACCACTTGTTGGCCCTCAATCTCCCACAAGTGAGCAGCTAGCTCACCAACACCCTCACTCTTACTCACGTCCAGAGGTAGATGAAACTGAGAACAGAGCACCACGAGCACAGCACAAGCACCAGCATTGAACTCTCAAATGTCGCAAACTAAACTACTTTTCTCCATTGCCTTTGCCTAGTATATATACAAGTAGCAGTACCTCTACCAGGTACATGTGAGTAAAACTCCTACTTACTCCTAGTACAAAGGTATAAGGCTGATCTCAGCCCAACTACTCAACATGGCTGAAGTCAGCCACTATAGGCACGTCCTATTGCCATGCTGCTACTGCGACTAGGATGGACAGCAGGGCTGACCACAATGTCACCACCCTGCTACGCAAAAGGGAGAGAGGTTGAGCAGCAGATTACATCTTACAGTTAAGTGAAATAGGCGAGGACCTGTGCAATGTTGCACTAGGCTTGAGTCTTGAGTGACATACAATCGGGCTAATTGTGCGGGCCTCCTTGCTACTCAGAAAATCACACTGAAGTGTAAACTAATATCAATTTCTACGTACAAAATCTCTGAATGAGTAAGATAGAGGAAGAAATGTGTGGCAAGAGCAGAACACCATGTTATATTGTGCTGATGAATTGGGAATTCATTAAGCCATTGTGTACTTGAGATTGAAATGTGTACTTAAGACAACAGTAATTCAAATCTAGCTGTGCAATTGCACTGAGATAATATAGTTCCTCACATAAGAAAAGCAGACACTGAATTGTTACGGGATTGGTTTTGGTTGAGCCAGATCTGAGCTCTGGCATAACCTGTTGCTATCATTATTTGGAAGCTTGATTGTATAACTAAGATATACAAGCAGTGGGAAGAGTTCACGAGATCTTTAATTGGTAGTGAATCGGATTAAAGAACCAAATGCAATTAAGAAATAAAATATTTTCCCTTCATTATTTTGCTATAGGAAGCAGTTCCTGCAATCTTGATGTAAATCGAATAGAAAGGATGGAACCCGATGAAAATTACCTAGTTAATTTTACTCCTGATCGAGAGAGACAGAATCTTCGCAGATACTCTAGTCCGCTGTAGCAATCTTGATATACAAAGAGACAGGCACACGACAGCGAGCTTCGAAGCTCGAACGAGAGAGTAGAACTCCCATACACACCGAAGCAGTAAATCGAATTGGAGAAT